TTAAAGATGCAGAACGTCCCCACCTTCCCACGAGTGTTGCTGATGTTATACAGGTCTGTGGAGCAAGAATAGAGGGGGAAACAGTTGCAGCAGGATGAGGCTCTGCTCCACACAGCACTCTGGGTTAATCACAAAGCCCCGCAGACGTAAGCCCACACCTGCTGGGTGTAAAGGACAGGCCCTGGAGGCAGCATTCCTTTTGGGAGACACCTGCAGTGAGCAAGAGCAAACCACAGGCTGGCTGCAATATGGTAGGGAGAAGGTCTCTCTAGCTGAATTAGGAAGAGCCTGAGACTGGCAGGGAGGAGGCCATGGGAAACTGCGACTCAAGCGGGCCCTGACGGAGCTGCTCCACCGCCCCAGTCAGAGTTTTGCTTTGCCAGCAACAGATTTTTGCAGGGAGCCCCGAGCTGTGCTTCACACCCAGGTTAGGACAGCAGGTTCAAGCAGGGGACGTGACCTACGCAGGCTGCGTCGAGAAGTAGCCACCATGAGCAGTTCTGTTGCCAGGTCTGCCAGGCGAGAATCTTTTTTCAAGCCCTCCTCCTCCTCCAGGAAGGGGTTTGAGGGCGCAACGGCCTCATCCTGTGGGAACTGGTAATCCTTGAGCCCTGGGGAGAAGGCGAGAACATCAGCGGGGCAGGGTGCAGACAGGCCTGTTCCTTGGAGGGAGGGCAGCGGGTGGCCTTACCGTGCAGCACCAGGACACGGAAAGGAACACGCAGGAGCTTGATAGGGGAGTTGACACGCTGGCAGCCGATGGTCAGCTTGTACACGTACTTCACCGACTGTCCCCGGAAAGAGGGAGGACCGTCTATGGGCAGAGTCTCACAGTACGAATCTGCAAGAAGTGCAGAAAAGGTTGCTTTCTGAGGCCAAAAGGATGCCCCTGGAGCTGTTGCTCACAGGCTCTCTGCACCGAGCGTTAGGAATAGCAGTGGAGATGAGCTAGGGACAGTGCCTGCTGCTTTCTGCCATCTCCTCTTTCCCACAGCAGGCCAAGCACATTCCCAGATTCCCTGCAACAGCACACTGCTCCTCACATCACATGTGCTGTCATCCAGACATTGCTTCCAGCACATACAACCACACACACAAACTCTGCCTCAAAAGAATGTTAAAGATGTAAAACGCAGCAACACAAACACATGAGAGCTAAACTTGCTCATCACGAGTTCAACCTGAATTTGCCTCTGCACACTTCCTTCGCACACTGCTTTCACACTGCAGTGACACGCTGCAGTTTCCTCAGGGCTCTGCCCCATGCAGCAGAGAGGTGCTGATCAATACGTCACGCCTCTTTTGATACTCGCTTTACACAAACCCCAAACTCAGCAACAAAAATTAGTTTCTTCCTGTGTTTTTCTCTGAAGCACTGGGTCCAAATGGCCAAGAAACAATTAAGAGACCTTCACAACAACCTGTGGCGCACCCCCCTTGACAGACCGATGACTTAGACCACAAAGCCTCTGACTCTGACACCTCTGAGATGCCAGGGCCTGGCTTTACACCACATTCAGCCCTCTCAAAGCCCCTTGGCCACCACACAAACCCCAACGCTTCTCAACGCAGCGTGAACACTCCTGCAGCTATCCCAAACCGCATGCTGTATAAAAAAAAGGCGCAAACAGTGAACTGTGGAAAGTCTCCACCTCTCTGGCTTGCCCACCGTGACGCAGATACACCCTGCCAGAGGAAGGGCAGCATCCTGCTATGAAACCACAGATACTTCCCCATGTCTGGCACATCCTAAACATTGAGGCTTAGATTAAAACCTAGGGTTACATTTTAAATATAACTTCTAGATTTAAAACAAACAACTGGAAGAAAGAAAAAAGCCCATGCTAGTGCGGAGCATCCAGAGGCTGTCACACCTTAAAATACAAGGCTGTCCTGCTGGACCGGGGTGCAGATAAAAGCTGAGATCTGTCCTGACAGGGAGGAAAATCAGGTATTTCCAAGGAAGGAAGCAGACTGCTGTAACACCCTGTGCCAGGCTTAACAAGAGTGCTCACAAAGACCTTCATGCCCAATGAGGATAATCTCAGCAGAGACCACTGCTATCTGAGGAGGATGGGCGGTTTGCTACCTGGCACAGGAATGCTGATTGGGAAGATTGGGAAGTCCCAGCTTCCGTGCATATCCCAGAAGGAAGCACATTCCTGGTGCGATGGATGCCTTCCTTACCCACCCATCTGGCGGGGCTCCCAGCCCATGTCCAGGCTGCTTCCATTTCCTCCCCTCTCTGTATCCACCAAATATTTAAAGGTATTACAAAACCAGAGAGGAGGCAAAAACAGCCACAGAAATTACTTGAGGGCTTGA